TTTTTTCTTATCAGTTTTGTATATTAGGGTTGTGTGTTACACCTAATGTTGTTAAATGAATGTTTATTGCATTATTTCAGTTTCATGTGTGTTACCATGATGGTGTTTAGTGTTTGTGTGAATGACACTGTGCACCTTCTATATATATGTTATTATTTATAAGCTGCTTGTGATGGGCTTTGGTTCATCATGTGCCTTTCTCATCACCGCCTGCATTTGGTGGTTATCAGTGTATTACAAAGGTACAAAACAGATTTCAGTACTTCAATAGGTTGGTATATTAACATTATATCAGTTAATGAAATTACGTTATTTAGCTGTAAATTTAAGTTAAAACTGTAAAACCTAAAACGTTGCTACCGTATTTTTTACGGTAAAATTCCGGCAACCACAGCTGCCGTTTTTTTACCATAAATTTTACGGAATTTGTTTTACAGTGTATACTGTACAAAAATTATAAATCTATTTTAGCAAAACAGTTGCGATACAGTCTGTTCTTTTTTATATAAGCCTCGAACTCCTCAAATCTTGCACCAGTATCACAACCTTGCAGCTCTCCCTGAGCCCTGGGGTCATTTAATATGGAGATTATTCTCATAATTAAGCTTGACTCGAATTTAATCTTGTGTGTATCGGGTTACTCAAAGTTGCATCACACTAAAATTGCGGGCGATAGACTTTTGCACCAGAAAATATACAGTTTCCAGCTGTGAATGCTTTTATGAAACCAAAACTCCAAAGCTAGATTCAGCTCCAGTGAATGCAGTCTGTGAGGCCTGTTATTGTTGCAGCACAGTATAGCATATTGATCCTATGGTCTCAACAATTTGCGCTCCACAGCCTCATTGTTTCGCTGTTTAGAAATGCAACCACAAACATCCTGCCTCAGCACTGAAGCAGAGAAAAGAGCAGTGTGGTGAAAATAAGTGCTGAAATATTTATTCGGGATGCATATTCAGCTTTTTTGACCACAATTTGACTGTGATCCATCTCCATGAGCAGGCGGATTAATAATTGAGCCCTAGTTAAATAACTGACAAATGAGATGGCCGTGTGAACAAGGAAAGAAATTATGGAGGATGAGGTGAGACAAGAGAAAGAGAAAAACTGGTTTGAAAACATGAGCAATATGACTGTCAACATTGGTTGCATCCAAACCGAACCAGCATTTACACTATATATATAAAATTTTATATTATGTTATATTATTATTTTACTAAAATAAGAAGGATCATACAAAATGCATGATATTTTTTATTTTTATTTAGCACTGTTTACATTAAAAAAGGTTTACATATATTCCACAAGACCAAGATAATTGCTGATGACCCCATTTAAAAGTTTACATACACTTGATTCTTAATATTTTTTTTTTTTGTGTGTGATGGTTGTTTGTCCCTTGTTTGAATCCCTGGTTTGTCCTGAACAGTTAAACTGCCCACTGTTCTTCAGAAAAATCCTCCAGGTCCTGCAAATTCTTTGTTTTTATGCATATTTTAACCATTTCCAGCAGTGACTGTATGATTTGGAGATCCATCTTTTCCCACTGATGACAACTGAGGGACTCATACGCAAATAATACAAAAGGTTCAAACATTCACTGATGCTCCAGAAGGAAACACAATGAAGGGGTAAGAGCCGGGGGGTGAAACATAATGAAGATGTGTACTTTTTTTTTTTTTTTTTAATATCTCTTTATTTAGTGAAGAATCCAATGCTAGATTTAAGAAAAGAGGTGTAATTCTGTAAGATTAAGTGATGTCATACCTTTCCCAGACCTTCATGCATTCTGGTACATCAGGCTCCCCTTGCTGGCTGGCTTTATGCTGCCAGATCAGCAGTAACCTGGAGAGCACTGAGAGGGACTGAGGATGAATGTACATGGGCCAGGGTCCCTCTGAGAACGGGGCAACACCCAATTGCTGCAGAAGAGTGTTCTGAAGAAAAGTTCAAGAAAACAAGGTATCAGATACCTGACATCTATTTAAAATGTGTTCAATTAATATTTAGTTATTTTTTTAAGCATATTTCAAAATTTACCTGTAGGGATGGAGAGGGCAGGTCTGATGTTACCAGAGAGTGATTAAAGTGATAGAGGGCTGAGGCGAACTCTTCATCAGAGGAACCTGGACAAAAAAGGTTACATGTTAGGAAAAGCCTAAATGGAAGCCTAAATGTAAGATCAGAAATAGGAGTTAAAAAAAAAAAAAACCTTTGACATCTTTGTCGACATCCTTGATGATGCTGGCGAGGGTGGCCATGTGCTGCTCCGTCAGGGACACGCTCAGGTAGTTGCGAATGAAATTGTTTCTGGACTTGAGCATGGTGGTGGTGATGAAGTTCAGTATGCTTGAGGCCAAACTCAAAAACTGGAAGAAACAACGTCTCTTTAGGTCAACATGAAAACTTCACTCATGCAATGTGAAGTAAATAAATGAAATAATATACAAAAATAATTATACATTACTGAAAAATAATATATAATATATAAAAATTATACATTTCAAAAAACGGGAAAAAAAATACGTCTTTAAGTCAACATGGAACAGCAACCCATTTCTGTCATCATGTCATAAATAAATAATAATAAAAAAATATTTAAATAATTATAAAAATATATAATTATATAAAAAATAATGCAAATATAAAACTCCAGAGATTTTTAATATTATTTAAAATATTTTTTAAATTACATTTATTTATTTATTTTGCTGATATGACAGTTATATTGGACTTATTCTGACAACCTAATGGCATGGCTGAAATATCACAATTAAAAGCACTATTTTTGTATTTATAAGAACAATCTGAATGACAAAAAAATTGAATGCACTTAATTAAATAGTAAAATACAGAAAATATTATGAATTTTGATTCAACATCAAAACAGCCTCAGAAGTTTTCTGATTTTGAGCAGCTAACGACCGAAATATCGGCCGATACTTTTTTTTTTTTTTTTTTAATATCTCTTTATTTATTTTTCATTTTGTACTGCCCTTCAGAAGCTACAGAAGATACATGTTTCCCAGAAGAGAACATAAGAACAATTTACTCTGATCTTCACATTTTAAAAGTTCTATGTATATATATATATATATATATATATATAGGCTTGACTGACAACCAAACATTTTTACAATTATGTGAATTTCTGCCTTCATCATTGTTTTACTTTGTCAAAAAACTGCAGCAAATAATGGTAGAAAACAGTTCTGGTCTCTGTCTTTTGTCACAAAACCATGACACCAGGTCCGACTTAAACAGTGTTTGGTGAAAAGATTTCAGTTAAGAGCGGTTTGATTAAATCTCAATTTACTGGAGTCCCACTCATGTTGAGCCGTGAATCTCAAGGCCAGATTGGCATTTGGAAGTGTTTAGACCCGCCACCTGCTCCCGTCTCATTTCCCTCCCCATAACGGGAACGCAGACACAGACGGAGCCACGTTCTGTCTGGGATAAGTTATCGCTGTCATGTGCCCCTGAGGGCCACGTGGTCCAATTGTCATCCCACCAACTCCACGGACCAACCGAATAAGGATTTACGTCTAGGATGCTTTCCTCTCATTAAAGTCCACCATGGACTCTCTTGGAGAAGGTAAATTCAACCTGCTCAGGCGTAATAGACCCCTCCACCAACGGCAGTGCGCAATGAGAGGCAGAGAGGGCCATTAGTCTTATGCGGCCCGACTAGAAGCAGGCAGGATAATGAACTAAGAAGAGGGTTAGGGCACCCAGAGGAAATAAGGCTCACACTGCAGAGGTAAATTCACCATAAGAGACAAATACTGTGAAGAGCATGGGCCTCAAACTGACAAGGAGGGATATAAAAAAGTTTTTAGTGCTTATTGAGTGGATATATATTTTCACGTATTTATTTATTTGTTTGCTTATTCCTTCATTTTCGAGAATTTCAGATGCTTTACCAGTGAAAAAGCCTCATCTCGAGAGCATATTTTAATTTAAGGGTGTAGCCTCAAGGCAAGGCAAAGCAAAATGCTGTGACAGGAGTTTTAAATTGCAACACGTCTACAGTGTGTAAAGTGTCTTGCTCAGTTTGTTTATGAATGTGCATTATATCGGCACTTAAAGCCAAAAGTTGTACCTATGAGTTTTTTACGCATTTAGGAATGTTATTAAATTGCTGTCATTTTTAATAGGGTAGGATGTGATATGGGGCGCTCATCCAGCTTCATCAGATTGAATGCATATTACGTCCCAAGAAATTCAGCTATATCTTTAACTGTGAAAATAAAGAACGGTGATAAAGCAAGACACTGGAATTTATGAATATATTCACACTGTACTAAATATGATGCATGATGCATTTCCATTACACAAAGCCGTCTGTGGAAGGAACACTAATACAGTCAAACAGCAATACCGAATGCAAATTACCATTTTCAGAATACACATCCGCCTGTGGCGAGTACAAATAGATAGTTGTGGGTTCCACGAGTAATTGGCCTCCTATGGTCATCACCTCACAGAAGAATAACAAAAATTAGATGTATGGTTAATGTTGCGCGGTGTTGGCCTTACGTGCATTTCCTTTAGTGATGCTGAGTAAGCTTTGCCTGGAGCGTGGAGGTTTCTCTCTATGCCTTCCAAACTGGATGAAGACCAAGTCCCTGTCTGCATTTGTTTTTGTCACCCTGTTCTCTACACCAGATGGTTTGACAGTCTTGCCAGGAGCTGTTATTGCCTTCATAGATATGCTTCTCTTGACAGCACGTAAGTAAACTTAAGCTAAAGGCAAGAGAGGGTAATTACACATAGACTAAGCTGAGCTCCATTCCAGTTATTATGGCACTTGGCACACACTGCTGCAAACTGGATTTGATGGGATTGAACTACAGAATGCTGCAATTGTTGCTGTATTTTGTAGCGATGTCAATGGTTATGGTTGTATTCGCAAAAACCATTAATCTTTAAAGAAAATAAACCCACTCCACTCTTCAAGTTACTTAAGTATCTTTTAAGTATCTAGGATATTAGCAACTTTTACTTTCTACTTGACTACATTTTCATATTGGTATTCTTTACTCATACCATTACATGACACCTAACGTTTTCTACAGCAGTTTATTTCTGCTACAAAAGAAGTTTGTGTTTGCATTAGCAGCTAGTTGCTGAATTGCAGGTGTTTTATATATGAGATGAAGACATCATGAGGCCTAGTCATGAGGCCCAAATCAGAACATCAAGTGCAAGTAGACTTTGACTGTTTTACTTCATATTATTTTATTTATACGTTATACTGAAGAGAGGTTTGCTCATGCCCTTTTTGAGTACTTGAGCTTACTTGAGACTTGACTGTTTAAGAGGCTGCTGTGTTGACTTTATTGCAGTATTGAGATGTTATTTCTATTGTATTAAATAATCAACAAATCCTCATAAATCAACTATTTCTTGTTTTTCACTTGCATGTCTCTTTGGTGTTGAGGACTAGCGCATCTTTGAGCCTACATTCAGTATGCATAAAATACTAAAGTACTGTTAAAATAGGATAGCCTGCTCTACTTTTGCTCAAGTGTTATTGGAATTGGTTACTTTATAAGTTGTAAAGGAGTAATTTTCACCTTAAGGTACCTCTATTTTGCTTAAGTTTTAGCATGTTAGTGGCTACCTAGTTTCAGCTATAGAAGCAAGCACACAACATCCAGTAGGTGATGCTTGCTCAATCTCATTGGCTATCGCGGGTATCACGTCAGAGGCAGGCTGATCAAGAGTCGTAAATATCAAACGTTTGATATTTATGATTTGAGTTTGTGGACGCTCCGTTTCGATAGGGAGCAGTTAAATAATCGTAATGACACCACACAATAGAGGACTTTCTTTTTGGACAAAAAAAATTGTTTGCGACAATTCTTGAATCGGGCCACGCCCCTTTATGCCATTCATAAATCCTCTCCCGTGGCCTCATGGGATAATAAAGTGTCCATCCTATGCACACTTCAGAATCACGCCGGGAGTAGTTTTTGCCTTCTCTTTTATGACTATGAATTCGAGCATACTTCTTTTGTCACATTCTGTTTTTCGCGTACTATATAGTGAAGTATGCTATTTTGGATGCAGCTACATAGAGAGTCTTGCAGTGTGAAATGTGTTTTGACAGGAAATTACATCAGTGACAACCTACAGCCAATGAGAGAGTAAGATACAGGGCAAGGGAAAATATCACTTAGTATCACTTTTTGCACATGCGTTTTGTAAATGAGACAAAGTTATCAGTGAAATACTGAGTGAAATACTGTGTAATGTGTGACCTTCAGTCGCTAATCTTCCATGTAATGTGCAAACCACAGCAACTTCATGATACCCAAAACAGTCGTGTAGTGTGAAAGGAACAGTGATCAGACGACATTAATGTAAATGTAAGTGCAAAGCTCAAAGTGTTTACTCAACAAACTAAAATATGTGACAAAACTGACCTCCCAGTCACACAAATATAATGCTCAAACTATTTCTGATACAGTAACAAACTCAAACCTGTGTCAATTGGCACGCATGTATCGGGGGCCTAATGGCTTCCCGTTTTAAACTCACAAATAGCAGTCATGCCTCCCAGCTTCCTCATTAGCATAGTTAATCCTGTCTCTTGAAGAGGCTCGAGTGAAATATTCCTCGCAGGCAGTTTCGCACAACAAGCGCCACTGATACAGCACATGAATAAATTACGGACATAATTAAAGGAATGTCAACGCAGTACTGGATGGAGCGTTATTAATGATGGCTGGGCTGTGTTAAAGTATCCAGGGCTGAAGTAAGCATGATTCATGTGTGTTTAATGGCAGTGGGGAAGAACACGGCTTCGGCTTTAATAAAGAAAGCTTATTTTACTGGGGTTTGTCTCTGGAATTGACCTGTTCTCAACACCCAGATGAGCGCCGTTCGACCTTTCCAAAGATCATCTAATCTTCCGGTCTTGTTCATAGATTTATTTCCAACAACAATTATAATGGGGTGATATGGACGGATATGTCTGGGAAGTGCTAATAAAACGCAGTGTTTTCTTTTTGTGGGCTGACGTGGGTGTGTTTTATGCTCCAGTGGAGCCCTGTGGGGTCTGTGCTTATAGACAGTGATGTTTTTATAGAAGTTCTTGACTGACGCACAAACAAAAAGCAGAAAGTCGCTCTCCTCCTTGAATCATAGTTTTTTTTTTATGTTAAATGAAAGTTTCCTGACAATATCAGCATATTCAGTGCAATGCCCATGCTACAAACGTTTTGGGAGGAATCCTGAAAATGGGATTCATTTGGAAACATCTAAACTGATTAATAATGCAACCAAAAAATAAAAAGCATACTTTTCCAGTATAAATATTTAAACATCCTTAAAACAAAATATATTTATGTATTTAC